AGCGTTTCTAAATGGCGGGAAAGATACTGGGATTTTTAAATTTTTTTTATACTAATAATGGCGGCGATCAGCGACTTATGGCAGGACTGCGGCGGACATTTTTGACACTGGGGGGGGGAAACTGACTTGGGGTCACTGACATCCCCAGTGACACCAATACAGTGATTAGTGAAAAAAAAAAAAAAAACACTGACACTGTAACTAATGGCACTGGGGAGGAAGGGGGTTAACATTTTTTTTTCACTGTGCAGACGGGGGCAGGCTGATCGGGAGAGAGAGAAACTCTTCTCTCCCTCTTCAGCTTGTCAACTGACAAATAGCAGGGCTGTGTGTAAACAATGCAGCCCTGCTCTCTTGTCAGCGATCACCGGCCGTGACCCGGCGGCTGACACCACGCGGGACAGGTAGGGCGAGCGCGCTTTAGCGCCTAAATGTTTTGCAAAAGTACGTTTTAAAACGTGGTTTTGCCCAGCCGTGCCGCCCTGCAACCGTTTTAATGCGGTGGCTGGGGAGGCAAGTGGTTAAATCCCTTAGTAACTTTTTTTGCAGTTTTGTCTTTGATTTATTTATTTCAGGTACTTCTATAGAGCTGTCAATTTACGCAGCACTTTACATATTATTGTACATTCACATCAGTCCCTAAGCGGTGTACAATCTAAGGTCCCTAACTCACATTCATACATACACATACTAGGGACAACTTAGACAGGATCCAATTAACCTACCAGCATGTCTTTGGAGTATTGGAGGAAACCGGAGTATCCGGAGGAAACCCACGTAGGCACAGGGAGAACATGCAAACTCCAGGCAGGTGGTGCCATGGCTGGGATTTGAACCAACGACCCTAGTGCTGCCAGGCGGAAGTGCTAACCATTTAGCCACTGTGCTGCCCCATTTAGAATCTATTCCTTAAAGTTGATTGCCATGCAATTTTTTTTATGCTTTACTTGCATCTCCGTGCTGCTGATGCTGAAAGCATCTTTCAGCATCTTCATGTCTACATGTTCTAATGTGGGCTGCACTTTATTGCTCTGGACTGGCTTCCTCATAGTGATAAAGATGGACTATGCCCATGCAATGTATGTTAGCACAACTGCTCACATCAAACATGTGACAGAAGAACAATGCAGGAGCACAAGACAGTTGTCACCCTATACCATGGGGAACTGATGCAACTAAGATAGTTAAAATGTGTTTTTGTAGTTCCCTTGTTCGAAAAAACATTGAATAGAACTATAACTTAGGTCTTATTTTAATTGCCATGTTGCTATTGGTGAACTAACTTACTTTCCTTCTTGAAAACGCTGTCACCAGGACGGAAAGTAAAGGGAATTCTAAGATTTTTCAGTTGCAGTGAAGTAAAGGAAAATACCCCTAGTGGGAACACAAGTTGTGATAACACTTTGCCACTTTCAGCTTCATTTCTAAAGAAGTGAAAGGATATTGCCCCAGTAAGGACATGGACAGCAAAAAAAAATAAATAAATAAAAATACTTTCAAACCTATCTTTTCTATCCAAAGCTAGAAAGAGGTGATGGCTGGACTTTCAATTTAAGGTTACATATAGAGTAAAAATAGTTCAATAAACTGTATCACTACTAAAATATAAATTATTCCATATTAACAGTTAGTACCCTAACCACTTGCTGACAAAGGACATCTCTCGCTCTCTTTATCTATCTATCTAGCTTTAAAGCGATTCTAAAAGGTTCATTTTTTTTGTGTAAAATAACAAACATGTCTACACTTACCATTTTGCACAGAGCAGCCTGGTTCCTCCTCTTCTTGGGTCACCCGCAGGCTCTCCTGGCTCCTCCTTTTTGTCGGGTGCCCCCAGCTTGCTATGGGAGTACCCGCTGCTCCGTGTGTCCATTCACACACGCAGCAGTGTCTTGGCCCTGCCCCTCTCTCTCTCTCATTGTCTGACTGGCTGTGATTGTGCTTGCTGTCTCAGCCAATGAGGCGGCAGAGACTCGGAACAGAGACTCAAAACAGCCAAGGCTGTCATTCACATCGCTGGATTGGAATGAAGCTCAGGTAAGTATTAAGGTGGCTGGGGGCACTGCTGCATACAGAAGGTTTTTTACCTTCATGCATAAAGGTAAAAAACCTTTAGACTTTACAACCACTTTAAGTTGAAGTGGTTATACCGGATGATGCCTGAAGCTACAGGCATTTTCCCAGTATCCTTTTTTGACCAACAATTCTGCTTTGTAAAAGCAATCCTAGCAGCTAATTAACTGCTAGATCGCTTTTACAGGCAGTGGGAAGGGTTTTCCTCACCTCTGTCTCCTTCCCAAGTTCGCCCATCCCACTGGGGGAGTATTTTGTCACTTCCAGTTTCAGTCTTGTGTTTACTGGCCGGGGTGCCAGCCAGTAAAGCAGCCAATCAAACTGATCTGTGTCTGATCAGCTGCTTTGGAGGCCAGAGGAAAGATCTGGGATCTAATAGACCTGAAATGTCTCCATAAAGAGGACCTGTCACGGCCCATGCTCTCACATGGGATGTTGTTCTTCCCTTGTGATTACAATAAAATTTATTAAAAAAAAAAAAAAAAAAAAAGAAATGTGTAAAAAATAAATTTGAAATAAATTAAAATTAAAGAAAAAAGAAATGTAAAAGCACCATTGCCCCCCCCCCCCCCCCCCGCGCAAAGGCAAACATACGTAGGTCGTGTAGCATATGCTTGTTCACACCACACATGTGAGGCATCGCCACAAACATTATAAAGAGAGCAAGAATTCTAGTACCAGAACTCCCGTGTAACTCTAAACTGGTAATCTGTTAAAGGCTTTTAAAGCGCAGCATATGGAGATTTTTTTTTTAGGTACTGTGGTTTTGCGCTGTTCCCACGGGTGTACGCAATTTTAAAGCGTGACATGTTTGGCATCTATTTACTCAGCGTATCATCTTTTAGATTTTACCAAACAATTGGGTATTATATTCTGTTTATGCAGATTAAAAAACTAATTAAATTGTATCTTTGAAGAAAAAAAAAAATTGCGGTTGAAATGCTGCTGCACAAATATTGTGTGACATAAAAATATGCAACATCCACCATTTTATTCTCCAGGGCCTCTGCTTAAAAAATATTTGTTTGGAGGTTCCAAATAGTTTTCTAGCAAAAAAAAGAGCATTTTAACATGTAGGAGACAAGTGTCAGAATAGGTTTGGGAGGCAAGTGGTTAAAACATACAGATTGTCAATAAATGGGCAATTAACCATTTGCCGCCCGCCCTATGGCCGAATGGCGGGCGGCAAATGTCATCAGCGTTCCGGGTGGACACCATATTATGGCGTCCTCCCGCACATGCGCAGATTGCGCTCCTGCAGAGCGGCGCGATCTGTCACCGGTCATGTACCTCAGACACTGCCGATGACAGATCTGAGTATCGGCCCCGTTGCCGGTGTCATGTGACCTGCTGTGACCAATCACAGCAGGTCACATGACAGTTGTATACAATGGATGGCTTCATTCATGCCATCCATTGTATACTAGTGTCTACCTGTGAATGGTCACAGCTAATCACATGCCATGTGATTAGCTGTGGCCAAATCACAGCTAAGCACAAAAAAAAAAAAAAAAACCCTGAATGAATCGATGTCATTCAGTTAAATGCTTGCTTATAGCAAAGTAATTCTTCGCTATAAGCAAATTGTGTAAAAAAAAAAAAAAAAAAAAAAATCTGTGAATGTTACTATGGTAACATTGTACTACTTTGGTCATAGTGAAATATGAAAAAAAAAAAAAAAAAACTTAAAAAATGTAATAAAAATAAAAAAAACAAAAATATATATATATTTTTTTTTTCCCATACTGTCACCAGTCAGTGTCCCTGATCACTGCCATGCCAGTTATGTGATGACGCTGTACTGCACTGGTGACAATATGTAAAAAAAAAATAGTGAAAGTAATTTTTTAAATTTTTTCATTTTCCGAAAAATGACAATAAAAAAAAAAATACAACTTCAAAAAACTCGCCATGCCTCTTATAAAGTACGTTGGACTGTCTACTCTGCAAAAAGGGGTCATTTGGGGGATATCTGTACTGTTCTGACATTCTTGGACCTCAAGAAATTAGATTGGCTGTCAGTACTTCAGGATTGATCAATATTCAGATCTATACCATAGTTTGTGAACTCTATAACTTTCCTACCGACTAAATAATGCATCCTAATTTGGGTCATTTTCACCAAAGACATGTAGCAGAACACATCTCGGCCTAAATTTATGAAGAACAATTATTTATTTGCAAACTTTTATAACAGAAACAAAGAAAAACTTTTTTTCAAAATATTTTTGGTCTTTTTTTGTTAATTTAGCAAAACATAAAAACCCCAGTGGTGATTCAAATACCACCAAAAGAAAGCTCTAGTTGTGTGAAGAAAATGATAAAATTTTAGTTTGGATACAATGTTGTATGACCGTACAATTGTCAAAGTGTGAGAGCGCTGAAACCTGAAAACTGGCCTGGGCAGGAAGGTGTAAAATTGCCCGGTATTGACTTGGTTAAAAAGGATCCCCCCAGCTATCCTACTCTATAAAAACTTAATATATAAAAAGGTGGAAATAATCATTCTTACCTATAAAACTTGTGACCTGAACGCTTCAGCGATCTCACAAGACCTTGGAGATTTTTTTTTTTTTAACCGGCAAATATACAGCAATTTTATATGGAACATACACAGAATAATGAGCACGGTGCCATGCATTTCATCTTGTGCACAAGCAATATGACAATGCTGCAAGATCTTGCAGTTTAGGTATGAGATTTTCCTGAAGGCAATGTTGCCTTCCTGGGGGCATCTGAGCAGCTACGTCACCATTGCCTTCAGGGAAACCATAATGTGGGAAACCGGTAAGTAACGCAAAAAAAAAAATAATAATAATGTTTTTCTTAAATAATGTTAGGCAAATTCACATACACACAAGCATGTTAATGTGATTTTTTTTTTTTTTTTTTTTTTTAGGGAAGGAGAAAAAAGGTCCACTTTTAAGACTTACCTTTTTTACTTTTTCAGTATTAAAACTGTACACAGCTTGGCTACATGTCACAAAGTCATCATCGTCTGGATCAGGTTCATACTTTGTTATCCTAACATAAAAGCATGACAAGAGTATACATTTTAGTGCAATCAATTATACAGCAAATCATTTCTATCTGCCCTTAAAAAAGAAAAAAAAAAAAAATCACCACCACATTATATATATATATATATATATATATATACACACACACATACACACACACACACACACACACACACACACCAACACACACACACTATACACACACACACAAACATACATATATACACACACTGTAAATTCCCCATCTTGGAGTACTGTACAGGACACTGGGGTGCATTATTCATGCAATTGGATACTGGCAAAACTTTTGAAAAACACACCCCCCCCCCCGGATGCCTCCCCTATAACACTACCCCAATCTTAGAGTGCCACTGCATCTATAGAAGATTGGTAATCAACCTGAGAGAACTTTAAAGCCTTACAAAGCTGAGTTACAGAGACCAGGTGCCAGAAAGTCCAGGAAACTCTTGAAGAGAAATGTATGTTTTTCTTATGGTCTATCCTCACTCCATGTTTTTTGTATCCCATTTTGATTAATTGCTTTTGTATTATACCCAGAATGAGTTAATGAAAATATGCTGTGTCAGTTATGTGCTATAGAACTGTACTCACAATATTCTTTTGTTTTTTTTATCTTAGCTTAGCCTTGGTAGAGGTAGGGATAGTATCCAATTATTTATTTGTATTAAAAGCACCTGTTTCTGCTATGATATAGTTAAAAGTCAAATACTTCTGTCCCATGGGAAAATAACTGTTGGTTACTTGTAACGGATTTCAAGGCCTGAGAAAAATCATGTTCACAGCCTTGACAAGTATCAAGCGAAAATTCTACTGTATGATTTTCTTTGTTACAATATAAGAAGAAGAATCTACTAATAAAGATCAGATAGTCTTCTGGAAACCTGTGTGTGCATGCTAATTTCTCTCTCATTTCAGAACACAGTCTCTTAGGCCTAATGGGGAACCCAAGCCTACCAGTGATTGATTAGAAGCAAAAATTCCTTTCACTGATGTGGTGGAAGGGTCATGTAAAAGTGCAGGAGTTTTATCCTAGCCAGTTTAACCTCTTCCCGCCCAGCCTATGGCCGAATGACGGCCGGCAAAAACCCTCACCTTTCCGGGTGGACCCCATATGGCGTCTTTTCGGGCATGCACAGTTTGCGCGCCTGCAGAGCTGCGCAGCGGCGCGATCTGCACCGGCCGTGTACCTCGGGGAGAGAAAAACAAACAAACCGCTGAATGAATCGATGTCATTCAGGTAAATTCTTGCTTATAGCAAAGTAATAAGCAAACAAAAAAAATACTGATCACTTCTTCCCCAAAGTAATACAATGTTACTATGGTAACATTGTACTACTTTGGTCATAGTGAAATATGAAAAAAAAATAAAAAAAAAAAATATTTTTTTTTCATACTGTCACCAGTTAGTGTCCCTGATCACCGCCATGCCAGTTGTATGACGATGCTGTACTGCACTGGTGACAGTATGTAAAAATAAAAAAAAAAGTGAAAATTTTGAATTTTTTCATTTCCGAAAAATGACAAAAAAAATAAAATAAAAAATACAACTTCAAAAAACTCATGCCTCTTGCCTCTTATGAAGTACATCAGACTGTCTACTTTGCAAAAAAGGGGTGATTTGGGGGATATCTGTACTATTCTGACATTCTTGGACCTCAAGAAATTAGATTGGCCGTCAGTACTTCAGGATTGATCAATATTCAGATATATCCCATAGTTTGTGAACTCTCCTACAAACTAGAAAATACATCCTAATTTGAGTGACTTTTACCAAAGACATGTAGCAGAATACATCTCGGCCTAAATTTATGAACAAAAATTATTTATTTGCAAACTTTTATAACAGAAGCAAAAGAAAAACGTGTTTTTATTTAAAAAGTTTTGGTCTTTTATTGTTAATTTAGCAAAAAATAAAAAGCCCTGTGGTGATTAAATACCACCAAAAGAAAGCTCTAGTTGTGTGAAGAAAATGATAACATTTTAGTTTGGGTACAATGTTGTATGACCGCGACAATTGTCATTCAAAGTGTGAGAGCGCTGATACCTGAAAAATGGCCTGGGCAGGAAGGGCGTAAAAGTGCCCGGTATTGAAATGGTTAAGCTCTAGCAATCAGATTTGTTATCCTTCTAATGATGGTGAGCTTGAAAGCAGGGTGTCACTAGCAAGGACAAATAGGAAATCCATCTTCCTGATCACAGCTGTGTATGGGATTTTTTTTTTTAATCTTTAAAATCATACTTACCAAGGGGGATGCAGCATTGCCCACTGGCTCTAAGGCCGAGATCGCTCAGTTCTCCCCGCCACTTTGAGCAGGCAGCAGTGACTGTCAGTCACCACTGTCTCCTTCCCCCCCCACTCACTGTGCTTTGGCTGTACTTCTCCTTTAAAAAGTAGACTCTAATGGCTCTGACTACATGCAGGCAAAGAAGAGGGATTTCTTTTTGATGCTTTAGAGCACAGCATGAAAATGATAGATCTACTGAAGTGCAAGACTGATAACACCTTTAGAAAAGAAAATATGGTCTTGGGTGTAAGACTACCTTGTCATTGTGAAGGATGTGCAATGGTTCCGTACAAGAAAACTCAGTGACAGCTCTGAGGGACAAGATCGAAACCAGAAAGGCCACTTTGCAGAAGAGGTCTTCTAGGGTTAATATCCCTGTTGGGTTGAAATCGCACAGAATGCTACATGGGGACTTGATGCAAGATGCATCTTGAATGCAAGACTTATACAAGGGAGTGCAAAGTCTTTGAAAAGGAATGGACAAAGCCAAAACCCAAATCTTTGAGAGTGCTTAAGGTCAGTCAAGACAAGATTGTAGGAAAGGTAAAATGTAAGGCAAAGCATAATCTCAAGTGTTAATTGCCTGTATTCACACCAGGCAAAGGCTTTCCAGGTTGCACAGTAGATCTTTCTGGAAGTGGCTCTTCTTGCTTTCAGCAAAGTAGGAGACTCAGAGATCCTCTCAAAACTTGAGCTTCAACAACCATGCCCTTAAAGCTAATAGACTGTGGGGCATGATAGAATACAGGGCCCTGAAACAGATGTGGCCTGCTGGGAAGAAACCAAGGGTCGTACGTGACAAGTGAATGTCTGTGTACCAGGTTTTACAGGGACAGTTTGGTGCAATGGGAATCACGGTCTTCCTCTCTTGCTCTATTTTTGAGCAGATAAGGCAGAATTTGCCCTGGAGAAAGGGATAGATTAGCCTGTACTAAGACCAGGGAATTGTCATCTGAAGCCAGCGCTAGAGGATCTTTGATGCGGACCTCCAGAAGGTGTATCATATTAAACAATTTATGAACTGTGAAACAACGCAAGTATATATGCTTGAGTGTCCTTGCAAAAAAAAGATTTATATTGGTAAAACCAAACACCAACTGAGGGTTCGTATCAGTGAACACCTTGGAAGCACTAGCAGTAACAAACATGATAAAACCCCAACATTTTGCCAAAATACCATAATTCGTTGCCTAAGGGACTTAAGGACAAAGCAATTTATGCATTGAATCTCTCTAATTGCAAAGGTGACATTGATACGATCTTGCTGTGAAAAGACAAGGAGTGGATCTTTAGGCTGGGCACTTTAGCACCAAAAAGGCTCAATACAGAAATTGAACGTACAGGTTTTCCTGGAGCCTTATATAATCCCCCCTCCTTACATTTTTTCATTGTGTACATAAGCTATCTTAGTATAATTACTAGCATTGTGCAACTCTATATCTTGCTTGCTCTATATATTGTCACGGTATGCATGCATGTCCATGTATGTGTGGTTGGAACACTTGTGGCCTGGGCTGGTTGTTTTAATATTTATGACAACTTGTCATTTATTTTTAATTGTGTTAAGGGGGTAAGCATTTTGGATAGCTTTGATATTTTCAATAAAGTCTGTCATTTCATTGTTTCAAGCTGCAGTTTTTGTCCTCCACTGGGACCTATCTTTTGTGTGAATCTCTTTTCACCCATTCCATTTTGTAATCAGGATATTTGGTCCTGGCCACAAGCAGAGGTACTTTGTTGTGGTTTCTGGGGGATAGGAAGTCTTCATCCAGGAGTTCTCCATTTCTGACATATCAGATTGAACATGTCTGGGTGCAAAGCCCATTCCCTTGAATCAGGCATTAGCAGCTGAAATAGTCTCTTTCCCTAAGTTGTGAACTACATATTGTTGGACAGCAAGTTTCCATCCATGAGATCTGGCTAGCTTCCTTCAAGACTGCATGATTCCTGGTGCCCTTGATGACTGGTGTAGGCCACAGCCATGGTATTGCCTGACTGCACCCTGATTGGGTGCCCTTGCAGATGGAGGGTCCAGTGCTGCAGAATTAATCGTATTGCTCTGAACTCAAAGAGGTCTTTGGTGAGCCTAGCTTCCAGGGGTAACCATATTCCCTGAATTGTAAGGGACTGAAAGACTCCTACCCAGCCTGAAAGACTACCATCGGTTATCACTTTCAAGTAATAAGGAAGAAAAGACTTTCATACTGTTAAATTTGGGCTGGGGAGCCACTGTGTTAAGGAATTTCTTGCTTGGCTGGACAGAAGCATGGGTAGGTCGAGAGAAGGCACAAGTTTGCTGCTGACAAGATGTTGTGCTGGAGAAGTCCTGACTGAAACTGGGTGAATGGTCCCAGCCTCAAAAAGGAGGCCACCATGAGGCCTAGAACCCTCAAGGAGAAATATCATTGTGAGAGGTCTCTTTGATCTCAAATCTTGAGTATGGGTTCAGAGAAAGAATTGTCTTTTCTGGAAGTAACACCTGTGCTTGGAATGTGTACAGGACCAGACCAGGTGAAGAGTAGGCTGGAGAGCAGATTTTTGGAAACCGATCACCCAACGGAAAGACTGTACCATCTGACTTGTAATGTGGACATTTTTTTTTTTAGAAGGGAGAGGAGTCCTTCAGGAGAAGGTTGTTCAGAAATCCTCTGAACTGGATGCTCTGATCTCTGAGAAGGGCAAGAAGAGGTGCTAAGAC